CATATGTATGTATATATATATATATATATATATATATATATATATATATATATATATATATATATGTATATATATACATACATATACATATATATGACTGCCGCGATAGTTGTTAGAGCACTGGAGTCCGACCCTCGTGGTCCCGAGCTCAAGTCCCCGTCTCGGCAGCCGTAAAAAGGCCTGCGCTCTGACTGACGGCTTGAGCCCGATCTCACGGCGAGAAGTCAAACGCTAGTGTCGTAGGGGAAGTCGCCGCCGGGGCACAAGTGTTAGCGCATATATATGCGCACACACACCACACACACACACACACACACACACACACACACACACACACACACACACACACACACACCGCACACTTTACACACACACGCACCGCACACACCACACACACACGCACCGCACACACACACGCACCGCACACACATGCGCACCGTACACACCACATACACACGCACCGCACACACACACGCACCGCACACACCACACACACACGCACCGTAGACACCACACACGCACCGCACACACACACGCACCGCACACACCACACACACACACACCACACACATATATGACTGCCGCGATGCCCCAGTGCTTAGAGCACTAGACTCCGACCACACCACACACACGCATCGCGATGGTCCAGTGGTTAGAGCACTAGACTCCGACCCTTGTGGTCTCGAGCTCAATTCCCCGTCGCGGCGGCCGTAAAAAGGCCTGCGCTCTGACTGCTCGCTCGAGCCCGAGAAATCCACATACCGCCTTGAGAAGTCAAACGCAGGTGTCGTAGGGGAAGTCAACGCCGTGGTACAAGTGTTAGCGCGCTGAACGGCGATTGATAAGGAAGGGCATCCAATCAGGCAAAGGTGGCACTGTCATATAACCTCTCAATAGTGAATTGAGAGGCCTGTGTCCTGCATATATATACGCATGTATGTTTGTGTTTGTGTGTGTGTGAATTGCAACAAATATGCAGCACCATCTTCGCATAGTAACAGTTATATTGCCTGTGCTTTAACTTTTAAATGTAGATGATATAGGCATGGCATATACATGATATTTACCTGTCTCATCTGATCTGTTTTTTTTTGTTGTTTTTTTCAGTATCTGTGGAATGTTTGCCCTAGAATTATGTGCTGGCATGCTAAAGTGGTGTAAAATCATTTACTGACAGACTTAATCAAATTAGACATGAATTAGTCAACACAAATGTGATATATTTACATATATATACTTATATGTATGTTTATTTACATATCTATACATAATATACATATATATACAGATTATATATATATGTGCGTGCGTGTGTACACACACATACAGATATATATATACATATACATACATATATACAATGTATATATATGTATGTGTATGCTTGTGCGTCTGTGTGCGTGTTTGTGTTTTTGTGTGCGTGCACACACACACACACACACACACACACACACACACACACACACACACACACACACACACACACACACACACACACACAGATATATATATATATATATATATATATATATATATATATATATATATATATATATATATATATATATATATGTGTGTGTGTATATACATATATATATATTGTGAGAGCATATACATTTATGTATATACATTTATATACATACGCACATGTGTGTATATGTATAAACATATGTGCGTGTGTGTGTGTACACACATACACATATATACATACACATTATATATATATATATATATATATATATATATATATATATATATATATATATATATATATATATATATATACATATATATATATATATATATATATATATATATATATATATATATATATATATATATATACATTATATATATGCAATATATATATACATATATATATATATTTGTGTGTGTGTGTGTGTGTGTGAATGTGTGTGCGTGCATACACACACACATATATGTATACACATATATGTGTATGGGGGTGTATCATATATATATATAAATGTATGTATGTATGTATGTATGTATGTATGTATATATATATATATATATATATATATATATATATATATATATATATATTTATACATTCACACATATATGTGTGTATACATATACATACATACATTTATATGTATACACATATATATGTATTTGTATGTATACACACATGTATGTATATGTATATATGTATATACATACATACATATAAATATAATATAATAATAATAATATATATATATATATATATATATATATATATATATATATATATATATATATAATACACCCCCACACACATATATGTATACATGTGTGTGTGTGTGTGTGTGTGTGTACATATATGTCTATATACATACATATATATGCATATATGCACATCTATGTATGTACATATATATATATAATATATATATATATATATATATATATATATATATATATATATATATATATATACATATATATATATATATATATATATATATATATATATATATATATATATATATATATATATATATATATTTATATATATATATATATATATATATATATATATATATTCATATATATATATATATTCATATATATATATGTATATATATGTGTGTGTGTGTGTGTGTGTGTGTGTGTGTGTGTGTGTGTGTGTGTGTGTGTGTGTGTGTGTGTGTGTGTATGTCGCCAATGCACAGATCCTTTGTGTTGAGCATCGAATTGCAAAGCGACCAACTATTCCCCAGATGCCAACACTGATGATGTCATCAAATACCGATGGGAGGAAAACGTGCCCATCGATCTCCCAGACAACTTGGAGATCGCGCAGTACGACCTCCTCGGCCATTCTACACACGAAATCAAACAGGAGTTCGTCACAGGTCAGGATAATGCTGATTAATGGAAAATGAACGTAAGCATGATGTTGTATGCCTGACGTGGAGCTAAATTTGAAATCATCGACAGGTAATTTCAGCGGTCTGCTCGTAAAGTTTAGTCTTCGTCGCCAAAACGGCTACCACGTCCTCCAGACCTACGTGCCCACCATCCTGATCGTGTCCATCTCGTGGGTGTCCTTCTGGCTGGACCCGAACGCCGTGCCCGGGCGAGTGTCCCTCGGCGTCACCACTCTGCTCACCCTCACCACCCTCGCCTCGGGTACCCGCGCTTCCCTACCGCCCGTGTCATACGTCAAGGTAGTTCAGTTTTGCGAGCAAGGTCCATTTTGGAATAAATGTTACAACAACCTGGAATTTGTTTACATTTATAACGTCGACAGCACTTAATATTTTTCGTGATGGTAGGACTGTTGTGGATAACAGCCAATATTATTATATAACAATATTGCTTTATATCAGTAAAATAAGATCTTATCCCCATCGTATTTTCCCTCTTTTCCCATTGATGAACCGTGGTTACATGAAGGCTATCGACGTATGGGTTGGCATGTGCATGATCATGGTGTTCGGGGCGCTGCTAGAGTTCACGCTTGTCAACTGGCTCGCCAACAGGAAGGTCGCGCCGGACTGCCAACCCGTGTTCAAGATCCCCAAACTGGTAAGTTTGCAGGGCCTTTGACTCCATATAAATCGTATGTCTCCACACTATAAATCTATTTAGGCTTTTTAAAAGTATATGTAGATCAATAGATGTATATGGTAGATTGTTAAGAAAACCTTTCACCCAATTTCGAAGTCTGTTGTGTGAATCTTGAAACAGGAAAAGGTGCGAGTTCAGTGGGATATATTCTTATGTAATATGGTATGTTTTATCCTTCTAACGTACCCTTTGTGTACACATCTTCCCTACCGCGGCTCCTCGACGACCGAGCAGCTGGCCAGCTTCGATGAAGAGGTGGGCTGGCAGAAGGATCAGGCGGGAGAGGAGGAGAAGGAGACAGGGAAAGGCGTAGAGAAAGGGGAACAAGTACTAACATAGAATAGTTTTTATTCCTAACATTCTCTTCGAAAACATATGCTATTTTGTTTTCCTTTTTATTGCGCTTAATCTTGAACTTCCTTTGGGCACTTCTTTGCTCAGCGCACGTATGCATTTTTTTTCGTAAACCGGCACTTGAGCTGACTATCTTATGACAGTATAAATGCCCATTTGCCAATTAATAAATGAAGTCTAAACCTTTAATACTAAAAATGGAGACCATTGAGTAATGACTCGTTTGTGCTCATGCGACGGCGTTACCTATTCCACACATTTTAGCATGTTTCTGGCATTCTAAGCGACCATTTAAATGACACTCTGAGATATGATATTTACTCTGAGTTTCTGCATAATGCATGGGCTGTCTTGACTGAAATCAAATCTATAGTTTAAAGCTGCACGTGATTTTGTAGATAAGCGATTTCCAAAAGAACTGAGCTGTCCCTTCCAAGTACTAAGTGTATCACATAAATTGGGATATAAACATCGTGGAATATTATAATCGATAAGACTCCGTTGGTTTAGCGGCTGTAACAAAGAACAGGATATTTTACTTACACAAGAACAATATCAGTTTTTCTCTTAACGACAATTACACCATTGTCAATATTCTCCCCTGCTGCATTGCCAGGAGGACGGCTTTCTCATATAAGTGTCAGGGTCAAAAAGCTCTCTGTCAGATAACAGGAAGCTTCAACACAATTTGTATTGACGGTCAAGACAGATTTTCCATTTGCACACTGCACGTGTCACAGTACCTGACTTCCCTTCGCAATGACTTACATTAGTTTTGAATTGTTGATAACCTCTGAAATGGCACTGATGCATACATTTAAAGATGCGCAACAATAATTGGCAAATGAAAACAAACACAATAGTTGTAGCATCTAAAGCAACGGTCACACTAGTCTTCTTTGTCCAGGGATCCTTACACAGTGGTGGGCGTAATCAATTACTTACTGAGGACCGTCTCAATAATTTCAGTCGAACACAATTCACCATGACATTTTTGTTTACTCTACAAAGTGGTATAAAGTATTTCTTGTACGAATGATTGGTTATGAAGTAATTATAATTTTCTTATTAAATATTTTAAGCGGATATTTACTTAAGATAACTCCGATATGCGAAGCTGAGCCTCGCCCGGGCTATGCCCGGCCTGTGTCGACTAATGTCGACTCGCTAACAGTGTGTCAGCTGGTGCTGACTCGGCTTAGTCCTTACCCGCCGTGGTGCCCAGCCACAGCAGTAACTTCCAGGCGACAATTGCAACGTCTCGTGCCCGGGCAGGGCGCGAGCCGCCGACCCTCGGATGAGAGGCCGACACGTTACCACTGTACTAACCCAGAGGCTGATATTTACTCGTCTTACTCCTTCACGCCTGTTATCGCCCTGGTGTTTGGGTGATGGTGGGGAAGGAGGGCAGAGGGAAAGAGTGGCGAGAACCGCTTCAACGCGCGCGCACACACACACGCACACACACATGCACGCATGAGCACGCACACACATACACGCATACACACGCACACACACATGCACACACACATACACACACACACGCATACGCACACGCACGCGCACACGCACACGCACATGCACACGCGCGCGCGCACACACACACACACACACACACACACAC